AGTTGGGTGGAGTGGGGAAGGTGCCGCGGTGGCCAGCTGGCCCTAAAAGAGAAATGAGGGATCCAGCTGCAGCAGAGGCCTTGAAGCTCAGCCACTGGGCGCAGATGGGGCCTTGTGATGAGAAGCTCCTGCGCCTCAGGCCTGTCCTGCTGAGCCCCACGACATCTCCGGGGCTGCAGCCCCCATGTGCATCACTCAGGCTTCAGAGGGCACCATTCTGCCCCAGAGGATTATGGGAGAACTTGTCCATCCCAAGCACTGCACAAGGACTTGTGGGAAGGCATCGGAGGACTGCTGGCACTGGCCTGTGTCTGCCCAGTTGGCAGCCCAGGGTCCTTGCCCCTCCAGCCAGGTCCAAAAGCTCCACTGAGCTGAGGCTGTGGCAGATGGTCATGTCCACCGGCATCGTCTCACAAGGCACACACAGGGCCCTGCACTCAGGCAGGCCGCAGGCTCTTGTCTGGGGCTTGGGTCTCCTCCATGGCTCCTTTGACAACTGCTGGTTCCCACCCCCCAGCCTCTCTGCTCTCCCTGGGCTCCAGCCAGGCCCTTACTGCAAAACAGCCTCCGCACCCCTGACAGCACGGTGCGCAGCCAGCCTCAGCACCTGGGAGCTGAAACCCCAGAAGCAAAGGACACAGCCACGGGATAAAGACCTGCCTCCCTGCACTGCTGACTGCCAAGACCCACTGCCACACAACTCCACAGCTCAGCAGGGCTCAACAGGGCAGCCAGTCTCAAGCCAGCCTTGCCCGGGGTGACAGCTCCTTCCTCAGAGCCAAACCACCCTGGGGCTGCAAACCCCCAGCCTGCGCAGCCCCGTGTGACCCCTTGCTCAATGCCATGGAGCCAGACAGGGCAGGGGAGCACCGCCTCCCCTCCACTTCCCACGCAGCAGCCTGGACCTACTCGACACCAGGGAGCCAGACAGGGCAGGTGGGCACTGTCCTCCCGTCTTTCAGCCCGCCCCACCCCCAGCAGAGCAGCCTGGACCTACCTGCACCTCGCGCGTGTGGTAGGCGATGATCAGGCCCAGCAAGATGATGGTGGAGAGGCTGATAAGGCATTTCAAAGCCAGAGAAAACATGGAGTCCTGCAGACCAAGAGACAGGAGTCAGGTGGGTGGGGAAGCCTCTTGGAAAAAAAAATCAACCCAGCCCCCAATTCACTGGTGGGCAAAGCACACAGGCTCAGCATCCATAGCTCCACTCCCTCCTGCCCCAAGCCAGGGGCCAGACAACATCCAGCATGCGGGGCGGGGGGGAACCAAGCAGGAGACTGCTGCCCCCACCCAGCCCTGGCTGCCACCAATCCACTCCCTTGGACACGGGTGTATGGCATCTCCCCTGATGCACAGGGTGAGCATGGGGTTGGGTGCGGAGGCACAAGCTTCTCCTTATCACATGCACTTTACCCTGGGGTGCGGGGTGGGCAGGGTGGGGGAACTACACCAAGGGAGCAGCCAGAGGACATGCCTGGGGCCCTGCAGGCCTCTGCTTTGATCCCCTCCCACCCCCCATGCAGAGGGAAAGCCCTCACGAAAATGGGGTGGGGCTGGGGCCCGGCCAGGGCCAGGCCAAGTGGGCAGGGCCATGCTTTGTTGCTTGCTCCCATTTGGCACAGGCTGCTCAATTGTTCACACATAATAGCGGGTGTAGAGAGAGGGCTAGAGACCAGGCAGCCACTATTAATAGCCAGCCCCTGGGGTCCAGCTGGTGCCAAGCCTGCCCTGGCCCCCCTGCTGTACTTCCCTGCTTGGCACTTGCCTGTGCAGCTGGACACCAGTCCCTTGCCGGCCTACCCTGAGCACTCAGAGCTGGGGGGATAGGGACAGAGGCCTGGGCTGTGTAGCAGCAGGACGTCTGGGGTCTGTCCCCAGCAGAGAGGAAGCAGCGGAAGGCAGGGCTGGGGCACCCAGACCACGCTCCCAAGGGGGCTGCAGGTGGGGCTGCCAGGAGGAGGCTGCAGGAGCCCAGGAACAGCCAGGAGCCCACTGCAGGGAAAGGATGGGGACAGGGATGAAGGGGCCTAGGGACATGCAGAACTGGGGAGTGGTATTTTTAGCTGCGGGTGCCAGGCGCAGAACACCAGGATTAATTGTAATTAAACGTCACTCCTTCGACAGCTCCACCATCAATTATGGCCAATTCCAGTCCCCGTCTAGACAGCATTAACCCCTCACCTCCCCAGCTCCAATCAGCGCAGGGAGGGCTGCTGGATGCCCTCAGGCCCAGGGCAAAGCAGAGTAGACGAGCCCAGCCTTGGAGTCCTCCCCGGGGTCTGCTGGGCTGGGTGCTAGAAGCAGCCACCTGTCACCCTGCTTCCCTTCCAGGCCAGGAAAGGGTTAACTGGGTGCTGCTGCCTGGCTGGGGCAGGAAGCCCAGTGAGGAGAGGACCAGGCCCAAGGGAACAAACCCCAGCTGCACAAGCATCGCTTGGTCCAGACAACCACTCGTGGGTCCCGGACACAACCCCAGAAACATCTACTGCTTGAAGCCAGGACAGGCTTCCAGGGAAAGGCAGCCAAGGAGGGCCAGAGGAGCAAGACCCTCACTGCCTGGGGCAGGAGCTTCCCTGAGTGCCTGGAGCCTGCGTCCCTGCCTCCCGTCCACTCCTGTGGGCACAGCCATGCTCTCAGGGCTCCCCCAGTGCATGCTTGGGAGTTTTGGAGCTGCATCCATCACACCCCAGACTTGCTCTGAAGTCAAGCCAAACCAGCCCGGGACCCATTGACCCAGGGCAGGCACCTGGCTAGGCTGGGGAACCCTCCCACCCCTGCACACACCTGCCCACACATGACTTCAGCCCGGGCAGGCAGAGCTTCCCAGGCCCGGCTGGAACAGCCCAGAGGAGCAGAGCCAGAGCAGGAGCCAGCAACAGTCCTGTGCCCCTCCCCCC